TAATGCTGAAATCGCGACAGACCTTGACAAAATTCCTGTATTGATACGATATGTCGGTTTCGTCATTTGCACCCGACGTCTTCGCACTTGTGAAAATAACATTCGAAAGTTGAAACGGCAGGTTTTATTGAAATTAATTGCACCGTTTTATGTATAGGAAAAACGGTCACTGAACACAGGCCACGTAGCTATTATAAAGAGGCACGATTTCCAAGGGTTGTGTCGACTCGCAGATCTGGAGTGTGCAACTCACGCGCCCCTATTCCATCAGTTCTCAACGGTCGCTTCGATCTAGGGCTTAATATAAATAGGGATTCTTCTTTCGAGATCTACTTTACTTTCATCTTCTTTGTGCACCCATATTTTCTGCTTTCCCTGCAAATTAATCACCTGATATCCGTATTCAAAGCAACTCAGATTCTCGGTCGACTTCTGGTGGTAAGAACTCTCCATTATATTTCATTTATTTACGCCGACTTTTCCTTTTCTTTTGTCGACACCATGAGTGTATCCTGGGCGCCTTCGGGTGACGACGAGTTGGATGTAATGATGATCAATATGGTTCACTCTGGGGAGTTAGAATTATTGTCTGAGTACAACCGGTGGGATCCGGTGTTTGTCGAACGGTTGAAGATCCGACTGAACGATAGTGAAGGGGATAAAGCTGTAGAGGAAAATGCCGTCGACGACTCAAGATTCTGGAGACGACCCATCAGGAGATGGCCAAACCCAGAAATAACATCTCATGGAGAGCCGAGTATTCTTACTGACGCCGACATCATTATGCTGCGGGGTGAAATTCGAGTCCCTTCGTCGGTACACCTATTTGCTCCATATCCAGGTGAAAGGATCACTTGCCCTCCACCCAACTGTGTCGGCGTATTTGCTGAGAGCTTAAGATCGGGCTTACGATTCCCTTTGCCACGCATAATCACCGAATACTTACGGGACTGGGAGTTTCCGATATGTCAAATCGCTCCAAATTCCTGGAAACGAATCATTGGGCTGCTAGTGCTTTTTGCCGAGAAAAAATGGGATCTACCGTCGGCAAAGGACATGAGAAGCATGTTCACATTCCGGAAGAGCCCAGATAGACAAGTGTCGGACCCGCTTCTCACCTTTTCGATCGTCGGTAAGCCGCAGCCGAGGGTTAAAGTTGGCGAGCTAATAATGGAGGTTCCCGATACTCTACATGGGTTCCAAGAGGAGTGGTTGTGGGTCGGGGGAGATTGGCAGTGC